CACAAGAACATTCGAAATGCAAGAAGTTGAAAGTCTAACCGCGAGAAGCCGCAAGAAGTTGAAAATCTCACCGCAAGAAGCCGCAAGAACTTATGAAGAAGTTGCTGCAGGTCAAACTGTCTGTTCTTTTATATTTACAGGGTGTATGTGCGTTGTATATAATTTATGGCAATGGTCTCCTTTGGGGCTTAAAATAGAATTTCAATCAAAGAATTTCTGTTCTCTTTACAGATATCAAGCCTGCCAATGTTTTCATAACAGCATCTGGTGTGGTGAAACTTGGTGACTTAGGGCTTGGAAGATTTTTTAGCTCCAAGACAACAGCAGCTCATTCTCTTGGTGAGAATTTAATTATTGAACAAACACAACAATCATAATGGTCAGCTGAACAAAACCTTTGCCCCTTGCGTGGAATTAACTCCCACATGTACATGTACTTCCTGGTGTGTTAAATTTGCCAACAATCTAATCCAGGATTATGAGCATGGTATCAGTCTGGAGGATTATTTCTAGTTACATGTAACGCTATATGATTTAGTTAAACAACAATTTAACAAAGGCAATCGCCACCAGCTTATCAGGCTCTTCCAATCAGCAGTGAATCTCACAAGTGCAGACTCTCATTGAATGTTGCAACTACATTCTAAAGGCTGGATCTTTGAGTTCTTGAGCATTTTTGTAGTGGTTGTTTGTCAGCAGTCCAGTCAGGAGTCTGGTTTTAGTTCAAGCATTCCTCCACCCCACCCCACCCTCTGTTTTTTCCTGGCTTCTCTGGGTGCCTGGAATGGGGGCTCATGGTTGTTGTGGGGATTTTCCAGCCATGGGGGTCAGTATTCTATCTGGGGGCTAACTGGACAGTACCGTGATAGCCCCAGGCAGCCATCTTCCATTTAAGCGAGGCAGCTGGTTGACCTGCATTGCTAATAAATGGCTGTCCACTTTAGATGTCTAACTATAATGATTTTGTTGTATGTTCATTTGTTAGTGGGAACACCTTATTACATGTCACCAGAGAGAATACATGAAACTGGATACAATTTCAAGTCTGATATTTGGTCTTTAGGTTGTCTATTATATGAGGTAAAATATTAATAGTTTATTTTAGTTAAAGCTGGTGTGGTGGTTGTACTATTCTTCCCTGGAAGTTGCAGTTACTTTTGGTCAACACCAAGACATGATCTTCTGGGTGACAATTTACAGACTCCACTGATTCCGCTCAAATCTGATTAATTGATTTAAACGAAAATTAGTTCTGTGTACATGCTCAAGAAACTGGAATGAGCCAGAGGCTGGTGGTTTTGCAGCTGACCAAGAGAGTCACAACTGCTGGAGACAAGAATGTGTGTAAAAGAAAGTAATTGTTAGCTGGTAAACCACAAANGTCCTCTCTAAAAATTGTAATTTGCTTTATTTTGCTTGATATATTTTCTTGCTATAATGCTCATTCTCTTCCAAAACAGGTGTAGCTAGTAAATAAATGTACATGTATACTTGATTGCAGTTGTGGAGAGTAACTGAGTTTGTAATTATGTTGCAGTTACGTGACTTGGTAAGCCTGTGTATCAATCCTGACCCTGACAAGAGGCCAGATATTGGTTATGTCAATGAGGTAGCACAGGGAATGCATGCAGGCCACCTGCCTCAGTGACACGCCTCACAGTGTGGCTCAGGGACCATTGAACAATACTTGAATTAAATTTTAAATGGTAGAAATGTGTGTAATGTAGGTGACAGACCACATAATTTATTACAAGTTTTAAAATCTGGAGTTGTTATCTTGCTGTCTGAGCTGGGTTAATGAACTCTTAATTACATAAGTAAATTATTGGCTGCAGTATTAAAGAGCCCTGTAGGCTAGGTGTAGCTTTTCCTGCTGTACCCCTTCCTCCTGTTGCTTGGGGAGGGAGAGGGGCAGGGGTGAGGGGGAGTGAGTGGTGGGTACATCTACACATAGGTTAAGAGCCCATTTTTATTCCTTTAGACTTGCCAAATAATAGAGTAAAAGGGTCAATTGAAACTTAAGGTGAAGACAACAGAAATTAACAGATGGTCGAAGCTGTACAAGTTTGTAATGTTCAGGAGT